CGTGTATTCACTACAGGTGGATGAAAAAATTGTTGGCGAAATTTTGTTCGGGCGAAACTCACGATTAGGCTGATTAGTAAAAAGTATCGTTAATTTATAAAAATTGTTATCACATTTTGGCGTATATCATTGAAACTGACTGGAAATTTTTTTGACAAATGTCGTGTATGACAAAATTTTATTAAACTCATAAATGGTTGTCACTAAACCAAAAAAAATAAGATAATTTAAGAATTTCGTGAACTAGTACATAGCATTCCTCCGACACTTTGGAGGAGATCTGTAGTCGTGTTTCTGAGAAGATTCGTTCCAAACTTCAACCGTGAGTTACCGAAAGTAACTTGTGACAATCTTTTATCCAGGCGACGATATAACATTTAACTAAAATATTCATCTAAGTAAATTATAATTGTCATTATTTTCGCAGTTGGAGTATATGCTAGACGAGTAACAGGTATATACATACAAGTATACCTAAATTAGCGCGTTGAGCTTGTATATTTATCTCTCTCTAACACATTAATTCTATATACGTCAGCACCAACGCCCGACAAAGTTATGTCTGTATTTAATAATGGCTCTATGAAAAAATATTGATGAAATGTATTCGTAGATTTTTATTTACTTCATTTCATACATTAGTATAGATCTGAATGTTTTTTACTAAATACCAGGAATAAATATTTAATAAAAAACTATTTCATTTAAGCTTAACCAACTTTTAGATGCTGGGAGCTAATTTTGGAACGTTTATTAGTATAGATCTGAATGTTTTTTACTAAATACCAGGAATTAATATTTAATAAAAAACTATTTCATTTAAGCTTAACCAACTTTTAGTTGCTCGGAGCTAATATTGGAACGCTCAATGAAATATTTTCATAGACGGTAAATGCAACCCTGGGCGCATCATTAATGAGCTGAAAGACCAAAACAAATAAAAAAAATCCATCTGATCCAATATTCCCAAAAATTATAAAAGCAAAACAAAAACAATTTTTCCAATTGATGCACTGGTATTTTTATTATTGCAATACAGTTTCAGCTCTTCAAACATTTTCCACATTATGCTTTTAAAGCTAGTAGTTTCCGACCCCATTTGCTCGTTTTTTTCAGTTCTGAATTTAGGCTAGGTTTTATGGGAACTTACTGTGGGTGCATACAGACCACATTTTGTAAATATGTTCATACATATATATGTATACACTTCAACTGAATTGTGAGATATTTAATTTTATTTTATAATGAATAATGACTAGATGTAAGACAATTTTTAATTTCCTTTATATATTGCATGCTTTAGTTTTAATTCTTTTTAAGTTAAGTTGTAAAGTTGTAGGCCTCCTGAGGAACCGAGCACCTTAAAAAAATCGGTAACGCGCCTAAAAGCATACCTCACAGGTGGTGTGGAAAATGCAAGAACAAATATAAATGGAATAATTTTCGTAATTATTAAATGGTTATTGGTATTTTCCATCTCAAAAGTGATCATTAATTTAAACGTTATTTAAGCTGCCTTTACACGGTCGGTTTTTGTCGGTTAACTAAAATCTACCCATGTAAATTGCAATTCAACCGTAAAATGTAAGCGTTTTGGCTGGATTTTCCAATCGACAGAAATCGACCCGTGTAAAGTCAACTTTAGGAATTTTTTAATTTGCTTTTGTTTTTGCTTGGGCGCCTTTTGAAGATGTGCCAAAGAATTTGTCGCCTTAAATACAAAAAACAAATTCTTTAAGCGATCTTGCGCAACGGTTTGTTGATGTTATGCTCACGGCTACCGAAAACACCAACCTCAACGTAGTGATTAGCCTTCTTGCGCCAGCTCGGTTGGATGTGTTGAGCTTGAATGGCATCAGGAAGTTGGAGGCTTTCTTGAAGTGGGTTCCAACAGTGAATATTTCGTGCGCCAAATAATCAACGCACTGAATTTCGTGCGCTTTACGCAATTTGCGTTCGATCACAAAGCTGTCAGAGATTGGGAAAGGTTGATGGTTGTGCTTGACAATTCCACGTTTGTACATCAATTCACGAACTGATTTAATATTTGGATAACCCCATATAGGGTTCGGAATACGTAGCATATTAATGGTTGCCTTGTTCAATTTGATGAACAAACCGTGTTTATTGTGGCGAAAACGGATCAACAGTAAAACTTTACGCTCTTTTGGTGCAACTTTGTTGATACCGCGGATACGTATCACAAAAGTCATTTTGGATTTGGCGCAACTTCATCTCACGGCGTCCATCACCGAGTTTTCTTGTTTGATTTTCTCGGCATGCACCAAGTTTTCACTTTTACGGAGTGTAATCGCAGCAGAGCGCTTTAGTTTACGCTTGATCAGGGTAGCAGTTTGCTGGCATGCTTCTTGCTGAACTTCAGCTTCGACTCAGGGACAGGAGGCAGCTTCCTGGAAGGTTGTCTGCCCTTTGCTTGCGGTTTCTTACTTAGCCCATTGAAAAGGCGAAAAAAAAGTTCGCCAATTGTTTATAGCACATCGTAAATAAGCCACTCGATATATACCATTTGTATTAAACAATTTAATTAAATACTTTTTAATACATAGATATGCTGCAACCAGGCACTTACTTTCCAAATTCCATCCTGTTTATCGGCATAATTTTCCAAATATGCCAGCTGCTTCATTACTAATAACCCCATTTTCAAACTGCGCCTTCTTTGTTGCCTCAACATATACTAAAAAGACATGAATTTACATTAAACAATAGAAATCGCAAAAATTAGCAAATAAAATACAAGCTTTGTTTTGTTTTGTTGTCAAATTTCTGAGAAATGTGAATTCACCACGATGCGATACAGAAAGAACAAGGACCAGGGATGTAATTTTAAGTAAAACTATTATTCAGTGGCAAGGCGCAGAGCGTTCAGGGCAGCAATATTAATTTGTATCAAATATAACATTAAACGGTGGTTCTAATACATTTTTTGATTCTATTGTGGCGAATACTGCGGCAACACAAAGCGAACAGGAGAAATAGGCAG